AAAGAAAATTAAAATTAAACCCCTGAAGACACACAACAAACTAGCAGTCAGAGAAAAAATGCCAATTTGCAAGAATCATCAGCTACCACGTTGAAGTAAAGCTGCGCCTCCCCCAGCCAAAAACACGCTTTACGTCATCCCCCCCTCCCAGCTTTTCATCTTGCCTCGGGTGGGGTAAGACATTCTTTAGAAGCACATCATATCTTAAGAAGCACATCAACAAACTGTTAGAGGTGCAAAGACATGCAGCAAAATGGTTCTAGAAATTGAAAGACAAGAGTTATAAGGAGAGGTTAGAGACATTAAATATACCAAAACTAGAAGAGAAGAAAAACAGGCAATATGATCATTATGTACAAAATGGTAACAGGAATCAACATGATTGAAAGGGAAGAATTCCTCAAGACCTGGTACTTGAAGAGGAGGTCATACTTCAAGAAGAGGTCATAAATTTAGGCTAACTAAACAAAGCTGCCAGAGAACTGTAAGAAAATTCACTTTTGCAAACAGAGTGGTAGTTAGAAGGAACGAACAAGGTAGTGGTGGACGCCAAAACTGTCAGTAGTTTCAAAGTGTTATATGACACAGTACAGTGAAACATGGGGATACAAACATTCCTATTTATGAATTCTTCGGGTTATGAGTTCAATTTCTTTGGAAATTTGAATCAGGTTACGACCTTTCCCTCGTCTTATGTAGTTTGTAGATACATGTATGGGTTGACCCATACGTGTGGTTCCTGGTGGGGGGAACTGGCTGGATGGATGGAGGGGGGGACCAGATGGATGGTAGATGAGTGGGACAGGGAAGCTGGGGGTGGGGGGGGGAGGGAGGGGAAAGAATTTAGAAAACACCAGCCCTAGAATCGTATAAGGGAAGAACACATGGAGGGCGAGTGGGTGGGCAGGTGAGAGTGAGTGTATGGAGTAGCAGCAGGGCGGGCAACAAAGTGGGTGGATAGGTGGGCAGCAGTGAGATGGTTGGCATAGTGGGTGGGCATGCAGGCAGCAGAACGCGTGGGTGGCAGATTGTAGACTAAGGAAGTGGGTGGCAGATGGTAGACTAAGGAGGTGGGTGGCAGACGGTAGACTAAGGAGGTGGGTGGCAGATGGTATACTAAGGAGGTGGGTGGCAGATGGTATACTGTTTATAGTATCAAGAGTATCCTGATTGTTAGAATAATGAGTTAAGTAACCATCAGTGACGTCACTAGCGGGACTAGACTTGGGGACTAGACTAGAACAATTTGGCCGACCTGAGGTCACAGGTCATCAGAGTTTCCACTTCCACTATTTCTCAAAGGTCAAATAGCCATTTTGTAATCGGAAATAGCCCTTCCCTAAGATGCTTGTGAAATTTAACTTCAGTTAAAAGAATTCAACCAATCTGGGTTGTTCAGTACAACAGAGATTAGTTGTTAAACTTAAGCCTTGCTAGTAACTTGGTAAACTAGGCGGAAGAATACTCTGCTCTAGCTTCTGGGTAGAGGAGCATGAGAGAAGGAGAGTGTGGTTCCAGGAGCGGCTCGGGCAGGTGGCCTCAATCATTGGCCCCAAGACCTAGCACAAACATCTAGCTGGTCGCCTCAAGGTAGAGTGCTATAAGAGTTTGGTATAGGGAAGTAGTTCAACTCATTGCTGATTCCGGTAGGAAGTGTTAAGCCAGGGAGTGTTTTGATTTAGATTTTGTTTAGTTTTTGAATAAACCATTTAGCTATTAAATTGTCTTTGTTTATTAATTTCCATTTTATGAAATTTATTTACATTGTCCCGTACCACGTGGGTAGCCTAAGAGGTCGAGTTGAGTTGGGCGCCGATTCTAACACCGAATCAGAATTCATTATCCCTGTTGGTTTTAATTAATTCCACACTTTACGTAAAATCCAATTTCATATATTACTAGTGGGGATCAAGCCCCGAGGATTATTGATTAGCATGATTGATCCAGACCTCGGTCATTGCTCAGTGGTAATGGTCTGGTGGTGGCAGCGCAAGGCAATTCTAGAGTTTTGCTAGAAGTCTGTCTCACGTCATAAGGTTGTAGAATCTTAAGTCGGTCAACGGCTTAAGACCACGTGACGTGGGGTCGGCTCGAGTAAAGCTCTGGGGGTCCCTTGGTTTGAGAAGCGAATAAAGATTAAGGACCGGGTGCAGGTAAAAGTAGAGTAAATGGTAAAGAACGAGACCCGTGTTACAATGGGACACACCTGTGTTACATAAGGAAGAGGGTGGCAGATGGTAGACTAAAGAGGTGGGTGGCAGATGGTAGACTAAAGAGGTGGGTGGCAGATGGTAGACTAAGGAGGTGAGTGGCAGATGGTAGACTAAGGAGGTGAGTGACAGATGGTAGATTAAGGAGGTGGGTGGCAGATGGTAGACTAAAGAGGTGGGTGGCAGATGGTAGACTAAAGAGGTGGGTGGCAGATGGTAGACTAAAGAGGTGGGTGGCAGATGGTAGACTAAAGAGGTGGGTGGGAGATGGTAGACTAAGGAGGTGAGTGACAGATGGTAGATTAAGGAGGTGAGTGACAGATGGTAGATTAAGGAGGTGAGTGACAGATGGTAGACTAAGGAGGTGGGTGGCAGATGGTAGACTAAAGAGGTGGGTGGCAGATGGTAGACTAAAGAGGTGGGTGGCAGATGGTAGACTAAGGAGGTGAGTGACAGATGGTAGACTAAGGAGGTGAGTGACAGATGGTAGACTAAGGAGGTGAGTGACAGATGGTAGACTAAGGAGGTGGGTGGCAGATGGTAGACTAAAGAGGTGGGTGGCAGATGGTAGACTAAAGAGGTGGGTGGCAGATGGTAGACTAAAGAGGTGGGTGGCAGATGGTAGACTAAGGAGGTGGGTGGCAGATGGTAGACTAAGGAGGTGAGTGACAGATGGTAGACTAAGGTGGGTGGTAGATGGTAGACTAAGGAGGTGGGTGGCAGATGGTAGACTAAAGAGGTGGGTGGCAGATGGTAGACTAAGGAGGTGAGTGACAGATGGTAGACTAAGGAGGTGGGTGGCAGATGGTAGACTAAGGAGGTGAGTGGCAGATGGTAGACTAAGGAGGTGAGTGGCAGATGGTAGACTAAGGTGGGTGGCAGATGGTAGACTAAGGAAGAGGGTGGCAGATGGTAGACTAAGGTGGTGGGTGGCAGATGGTAGACTAAGGAGGTGGGTGGCAGATGGTAGACTAAGGAGGTGAGTGGCAGATGGTAGACTAAGGAGGTGGGTGGCAGATGGTAGACTAACTAGGTGGGTGGCAGATGGTAGACTAAGGAGGTGGGTGGCAGATGGTAGACTAAGGTGGGTGGCAGATGGTAGACTAAGGAGGTGGGTGGCAGATGGTAGACTAAGGAGGTGGGTGGCAGATGGTAGACTAAGGAGGTGGGTGGCAGATGGTATACTAAGGAGGTGGGTGGCAGATGGTATACTAAGGAGGTGGGTGGCAGATGGTATACTAAGGAGGTGGGTGGCAGATGGTATACTAAGGAGGTGGGTGGTAGGGCAGGCACAGACTGGGTGGAAAGTAGGGTGGTCAGGAGATAGTGGGTGGGCAGATGAGTAGCAAAACGGGTGGCAAGTCGGTGGGCAGCAGAGGTAATGGCGTGAGTGGGCGAGCTTCCGACTAGGAATAACACGGATTGGTCATCCCTGGTACCTCCCCAAGACCCTGCCCCCAGCCCACACACCGGACCTTCCCCACTACCTCCATCCCACATCCTCTCCACTACCTCCATCCCCTCATCCCCCACACCGAGCCCGCCCCCAGCTGTACCCCTCCCAGCCATATGGACGGTATTAATACAGTGGGGTTCATTGCTACTAGCTGTTGGATTGGGAGGCAGACTCCCTGAGCGCCTGTCATTAAACTCTTTTTGTTTACCGACTGTGAAAGCCTGAATGACAATGCCTAACCAGTTGCTACCACAACTGTGAATGCTTGACTGCCTTTGGTTATGACTGCCTATGACTGGTCTTGACTGTGAATGCTTGACTGACATGTTGTGACTGACTGACTGGTTCTGACCAGCTGCCACATAACAGAGGCAGTGAAATGTGTGAAAGGAAAATCTGGAACCAGTGATGCAGATATGAAAGCGTTTAAGGCGAGCAGGGGATTATCTTGAGATTATCTTGAGATGATTTCGGGGCTTTAGTGTCCCCGCGGCCCGGTCTTCGACCAGGCCTCCACCCCCAGGAAGCAGCCCGTGACAGCTGACTAACACCCAGGTACCTATTTACTGCTAGGTAACAGGGGCATAGGGTGAAAGAAACTCTGCCCAATGTTTCTCGCCGGCGCCTGGGATCGAACCCAGGACCACAGGATCACAAGTCCCGCGTGCTGTCCGCTCGGCCGACCGGGGATGGTCCTTCTAAACACTCACCACCTCCCTCCTTCCCTCACTTTTTCCATACACCAACACCTCTCCTCCCTCCCTCCTCACCATCTCCCATACACCAACAAGAGTCCCCAGTAAAGGTAAAGTGCAGTTAAAGGTTCACTTATTTTATTTATGGTTTATATTTATACCCGATTGTTTTGTGTATGAAAAATATGAGTAGTATTCTGTATAAAATGTATTTTTAAGTGAAAATTTTTGGGGTGTGGAAGAGATTAATTCAATTTACATTATTTCTTATGGGAAAATTCGTTTTAGTTTACGAATTTTTGGTTTATGAACTGTCTCTGGGAATGGATTAAATTTGAAAACCAAGGTATCACTGTACTGGGAAGACGGGACATGACGAGTGTAGCATTCATCCTGTAACTTCACTTAAGTAATTACACACTGTACTACCCAAATCCATTGACCAAACAAGATTTTGTCCCAATTACCTGAAGTTTTGTAAAAACAGGACCCAGATTAGAGAAGTATCTTCCTATAAAAGTTAACTAACTGGAATTTATATGGATTTGTAACCAAAAAATTAATACCTTATCCAACAAATATACATCACAGATTGGTGAACAGGATGAGAGTGTAAACTTTATAAAACACAAAACCTACCCTATTTTTATCAGAATCATCAACCTTCAATCTCCATGACGGGCGCCGTTCTTCCTCATCTGCTTTGGTGGGTGACTCGGGCTTTGGCTTGGATGACGGTGAGGATGGAGTGGTTGTGGATGAACCTTGTGGAGTGGAGGTGGGCACAGTGGAGGCTGTTGATGAAGTTTCCTTAGGCTCTGGACTAGATGTCTGAAGTGGAAAGAGAGTTTGAATGTAGGAGGTAACTTTTTATCAGTGTGCTTAATTAACCTTTATTTAACTTTAAAATTCTAATTGTTATACAAACAAGACATTTATCCTTTTACTTGTTATTGATGATAACAGACATCAAATTAAAAAAACACAGCATTGAATGAAACACCATTTTCTGGGTGAGACCCTGAGGCTCCACAGAGCTATACTGGGCCGGTATGTATGTACAGTACTGTATTAGACTGTGGCATCAATCAATTCGAATGGAGTTCTAAGCCTAATGGGGACGAGCCAGAACCTGGCCCCGTCAGAAAGGCACGAGGAGCAATGGACTATAGAAACCCCCGTGTGGTTGGAAACATTCTATGTCTGCTATCGACCGAGTTAGGCACCCAGAAAGGAAGGCGTCCCAAAACAGACCCCCCACTGGTGAAGCAGTACTACCTAAAACTGAATTGCTAAGCAGAACTCCCCAACCGGAAAACAAGAAAACAAGCATAATGTCATACCCACCACCACGCCGCCTGTCTGCGCAGCTCTTCCCTCCCAGAAAGGGGAAAGGGGGGGAACCCCAGACCCCATGCCAGCTATCCACCCTCAGTTCAGAGGCTGAATGTCAAAAACACAAAAAAACAGACAACCAATGGGAGGGAGGGTTGTCAGGGAGCCTCCGGGACTCGCCCAGGAAATAGCCTTTCATTACATTCAACGATGGTTTTCTGCGGAGAGCCCCTCCGGCTCCCCAGAGCTACCTAACCAGGGACAAGAAAAAGAGGGACTTAGCCGGGAAGCAGTTACCACTCACTCCTCAACTCGTCGAGTCGAGGCAAGTCGAGACAACTGGCTGCAACCTACGACCCAAGGCTACATACGACCAAGTAGGGCCAGGAACATTAACAAGGTACTGTGTGGCCAGGATCCTGGTCAACCGCCAAAAACCCTGTGCCTGAATGTCAGCCCAGGACGTGTTACCAAAAACAGCAGTCAAAGCCATGAACTTGTGAACGTCGTGGGTACAGGGATAGACCACAGGCTGGCTAGTCCAAATAATCTTGCTGACGACCTGGGAGACCTGCGCCCTGGAACAGGGAAGAAGGTAACTGGGTCCACCCAAAGAGCATCCTCAGCCACCAAGGCCATGGCACGCAAATAACAACGAAGAGCTGCAACCAGACACAAGATATGATGCACCCCTAGTCAAACCAACCAGGCATCAACAACCCAGGACCCCTCCAGAAAGCAGTAGTCTCATTCTTCGCTAAAAAAGGAGGAGACGGCTGCAAATGAACAAACCGACCACAAGGGCAAAAGGAGCAGAAACCCCTGCACCGGAGGAGAGCATGAAGCTCCTCAACCTGACCCCCAAAAGGCCAATGCCAACAAGAAAGAGAGCCTTAGAAAAACAATCCTGAACCGAAGGGACCACCACAAACCAAGGAAGAAAGAGGAGAGAGAGCACCCGGTCCAACGACCAGGACTACTCAGGCAGTGTATGAGCAGGCTAGAGGTGTAACAACGCACAAGAAAGCTTGCGGAACAGAGCAGAAGTGACATCCACCCTGAATGCAAGCCGAGGCGGTTCCACCAGCGCAGCACCAAATAAGGGGACAGAATTCGGCATAAGATGACCGTTCTGAAATAGCCAATACAGAATGGACAAAACAACCCAAACAGAAATCGAAGTCAATCAACAAAGAGACAAAAAGTGATGAAAGGAACATTTAGGAACAAGATTTTGTACATGTAACTACAGTAATACTGTACTACCGCCGAGATGAAACACGCAGGTGGGACACCATCAACAAAGCCACCTGATCACCATGCAAGTGGTGATAAACCCACGTCTGGAAGACTAGACGCAAAGATTGGAGAAGATCGAATCAGCCACATACCGGACCGGACCAATCTGCTGAAAGAGGCGGAGCCACGGAAAGATCACCGAGTTTGGACACCGAGTTTGGACACCGAGCAAGCAGCACCTGAAACCAAGGCTGGGCTGGCCACCATGGGGCCAACAGGACTACTCTTCCCTGGTAAGTTTCCAACCAAGACAGAACCCAATGCAACTGCTGAACCAGAGAAGGGGGTACAGATAACCCCCACCTCGAATAGTCCTGCTGAAAGGCATCGACCTTGTTGGCCTTGCAGTTGGGGAAGGGCGCCACATATACCGGGAGACGCCTCAACCAGGGGCACCTAACAGCCGAGTGTACAGTGCTTCCGATTCATAGCCTGAGGTTCCGGATTTGATCCCAAGTGGAGACGGAAACAAATGGGCAGTTTCTTTCACCCTGATGCACCTGTTCACCTAGCAGTAAACAGGTACTTAGGAGTAAGACAGCTTCTACAGGCTGCTTCCTGGGGGTGTGTAACAAAAAGCAGGCCTGGTCGAGGACCGAGCCGCAGGGACGCTAAGCCCCAAAATCATCGCAATGACCTCAAGATAACTGGCCACACCGACGCAAAGAGGTCTTTTTCTTGTTGGCATTGGCCTCTGGGGGGTCGGGTCGGGGAGCTTCATGCTCTCATCTGGCGCAGGGGTTTCTGCTCTTTCGGTCCTGGTGGTCGTTTCGTTCGTTTACAGCCTTCTTTTCTGGCAAAGAATGGATCTGCTACGTTCCGACGGGGTTCTTAGGTTGTTGATGCTTGGTTGGTTCGGCTGGGGGTGCATCATGTTTTGTGTCTGGTTGTGGCTGCTCGCCATTATCTGCACACCCCGGCCTCCGTGGCAGGGGACGCGATTTGGGTGGACCCGGATTCCCTTCTTCCCTGTTCCAGGGCGCGGGGTCTCCCAGGACGTCTGCAGGATTATTCAGTCCAGCCAGCCTGCGGTCTATCCCCGTGCCCACAACGTTCGTAAGTTCGCAGCTTTGGCTGCTGTTTTGGGGAATATGTGCTGGGCTGACATTCGGGCATGGGGCTTTTGGAGGTCGAACAGGGTCCTGGCCGCACGGAATCTCCTTAATGTTTCTAGCCCTTCTCGGGCATGTGTAGCCTTGGGTTGCAGGTTGCAGCCAGTTGTCTCAACTTCGAGTTGAGGAGCGAGTGACAACCGCCTCCCGGGTAAGTCCCTCTTTTTCTGTATCTTTGGTTAGGTAGCTCCGGGGTGCCGAGGGGGATCTCCACAGAAAACCAGCGTTGAATGTAATGAAATGCCATTTTTTGGAAGAGACCCGGAAGCTCCCCAGCATCCCTCCCTCCCTCCGGTCAGCGTGGAGGTTTGGGACCCCCCCCATCCCCCTCCCGGGGAGGGGGGTTTACGCAGACGGATCTACAGTGTTTGTGGTGACGTCATACTTGTTTCCTTGGTTTTGATTTGGGAGTTCTCCTTACTGGTTCGGATTTCGGTTTGCAACGTCTTTGATCAGCAGTAGTTTGTTTTGGAATTCCTACCTTTCTGGGTGCCTGAACTGGTAGATGGCAGACAAAGACTGCTTCCAATTACATGGAGATGTCTTTAGGCCATTGCTCCTCGTGCCTCTCTTGACGGGGCCAGGTTCTGGCTTTGGTCCCCGGTAGGCCTAGAACTCCTTCGAATGACTGTTGCCACGGTCTAATATATACACATCAGCCCGGTATAGCTCGGGGAGCCGAAGGGGCTCTCCACAGAAAAGTGTACAGTCCCAATGAATCTACATGATTGGTAATCTACTTTACATGTTTAGTTTTATGAACAATAATATTTTTGTATTATACTCCTTTGGTAAGCTGTAATACCTATATAATATTTGATACAGAAAGTATGTTAACAGCTTTACCACAGCTGTTTGATATCACCCAACAAAATTTTCATTCATTCAGACGTGTTCATTCAGCACTATGCTAATTCACCAAAAATTTCCATACACTATTTTAAATATATACAGTAGTACTTTACTTTGAATTTGTAAAACTAAAAACGTGTTGCATTTAAATACTGCATTAAATACTTACGGATACCTGCTGTTGCTTGTTTTTCATAAGCTGCTCAGCAGATTTGATATCCTCAAGAGTAACTCCTTGCGTAGATCTCCGGGTCGACCGTACCATCTTAGCATGAGCTTTTCTCTGGGTTTCACTCTCTTCATCTCGGCTCGGTGGCACAAACGACCTAGATGAATGCACCAGGCTACACATCAGGTTACACAGAGTTCCCACCGCCCAATGTGGCACCACCTTCAATCATTACACATACTTCACCAGTCTTTACCACTATATGTTGCATATTAAATAATATGCTTTCATACAGAATTTTAAGAACACTGTTACAAGCGTACAGCAATGACATTAAATACAGTATAGGATATTAAAATTTAACAATAAAAAATTAATAAAAGAACCTTCACTGATGTAATTAAATAATGTTTATTGTAAGTCTGTGTAATAAGTGATACTTAATTTGTTAGCACACACAAGGCATCAACCACCAATGACGAGCAAGTGCGGAACATCGAGTGTTTACAAGTACATCGCTATAAGAAATGAATATTTGTTTATTTTCACAGAGTTTAAAGGACTTTCTCTGAAGAAAACAGTAATGGTTATGTCAAGACAAGTGGCACAATAACAAACAAAACTTTCAAATCATATCCAGCTTTCTCTGCATTTTCTTTGAATAAATAATGCAAATAAATACAAAACTTAACATCCTGGGACAATTATGAACCCATCTGTGAAGCAAGCACAGCTCAGCAAAGATTATATCATTTATTTAAGAGATAAACTTTTTAAATTAATTAACATGTTCTATTTGCATTATTAATACTGCAAAGATAGCCGTTCAATTTATATACCACTCAAGCGAATAAGAAAATTAAAGAATTTTAATATCAAGTCCACTAATAAAATAGAGAAATTGTATTTGCCATTAAAATTCAGAGAGATTTACTGGATGACACCAGAAACTTGTTGCAAAAATTATGATTAACAGGAAAACATATCCATTAATTTGGATATTTGGATGTGGATTTGTTCATTTAATGCATCACGCAATTGTGATTTTAGTGTGTATATCCATTCATTATTTTATAAAACAGCAGTAAATAACAAGGTGTGTAATTACTGAAAATGTAGTAACAGAATAGGAGCTACACTCGTGGTGTACTATCTTCCCTATAATCTTTGTCATACTGTAATTACCCAAGTGTAGTTACAGGATGAGAGCTACGCTCATGGTGTCCCGTCTTCCCAGCACTCTTTGTCATATAACGCTTTGAAACTACTGACGGTCTTGTATTGTAATGTACTGAATTGTCCACTGGTGTAGGCAAAAATTGCTTGTAACTACAAGTAAATTATTTTATCAACAATTCCTTGATCTTCATGTTTCAATCTCAAAATTCCTCCTTAGCAAATTTTTCCTTTACGGTCAAAGGTTTATACATGGTCATCACTAATGTCTTCTAATTTTTGTATACACAGTATAATGCCACCAACCTCTCCTCAACTTCTACTCTTACTTTTATATTTAAGAGTCAGAAGTCATTTACTTGCATGTTTCTGCATCTATTTTTATCAATATTGGGTTTATTTTAGATCAGAACACCATACAAATTCTATACTGTATTTGGTAATTTAAGTCAAACATACATAATGAAATTTTGTTTTGGTATGCATTAATAATTTTCAAGGTAAAATTAATTAATTTAAATTGGTTAATAAATGCCCTTGGTGTTCTTTGATGACACTTTATAATAGGGTTTATTAAGAAGAACCCCTGTACTGTATATCTCTTCTTGCCCCAGTTCTTGAGAGTCTATTCACAAGGTAACCATGCAAATTGTAAGCTCAATGTGGCCTGGTTATATTTACTCTGTACCCTTCTTCTTGAGGGTTTTCTTGAGATGATTTCAGGGCTTTAGTGTCCCCGCGGCCCGGTCCTCGACCAGGCCTCCACCCCCAGGAAGCAGCCCGTGACAGCTGACTAACACCCAGGTACCTATTTTACTGCTAGGTAACAGGGGCATAGAGTGAAAGAAACTCTACCCATTGTTTCTCGTCGGATCGAACCCGGGACCATAGGATCACAAGTACAGTGTGCTGTCTGCTCGGCCGACCGGCTCCCTCTCATGCCCTTTACCTGACATTTGCCCACAGTGAAATCCATCTGCCACAAAGTATTGCTGTATGCTCTTACCTTGTCTAGCACATTTCAAGGGCATGACAGTTGTTTAGGTCTAATTTTTTCCAGTAGCTTAACATTATGCATAAACTTGTACCTTGAATCCATTCACTAGGATTATTTATAAATAAATCTCTGAACAACGAACATAACACGTGCTATTAATGCAATCCGTTTCCTTCACTAGGACATGCCTTTTGACATTATATAATATATATATAAGCATTATATATAAGCATTATATATATATATATATATATATATATATATATATATATATATATATATATATATATATATATATATATATATATATATATATATATATATATATATATATATATATATATATATATATATATATATATATTTTATATATATATATATATATATATATATATATATATATATATATATATATATATATATATATATATTTATATATATATATATATATATATATATATATATATATATATATATATATATATATATATATATATATTTTATATATATATATATATATATATATATATATATATATATTTTATATATATATATATATATATATATATATATACATATATATATACATAGATATATATATATATACAGTACTGTATATATATAAATATTTGTTTTAGATGAAAAAAATTGTTAGCAGTAAAATATACTGTCAAAGATGGAGAATGAAGAAACACATGCTTTTTTGTTATAAATGAAAAGCTCTATTCTGTTCTCTTACCTAAATACAGCACTTTCATTTGTTGCAAATATTTGTTAAAGTAACTTGGTTATGAAGGCACATCTAACAAACATCATGCCAGTTAGTTAACAATCATATCACAATCAGAGAAATAAATGAAATAGAAGTCATTCTCATGGTTGGCAAGCGTACGCACTTGAAGAAATTCTTAATCACACTGCCTGGACTCATTTTGGATGGCGTGGGGGGCTGTGCTGAAGGAGGAGGAGGAGGAGGAGTAGTAGTAGTAGTTGGAGATGCTACAGAAACAATTGGAGGAGAGGTTGTCAATGTAGGAGAAGGAATTTGCTGTTGGGTAGGGTGTTTTGGTGGGATGGTGAGGGTTGGTGCAGTTTTGGGTGGTGGAGGAAGGGCAGACAGCCCCCCGTTGGTCGTGAGTGTGGTCACATTGCTGCAAGAGATTATTTTCCTTGAGGACACCTGTGCATATTTCAACACCTATTCTTTATAAATATTTGTCTTGAACATAGCTTATGAACTAGCTGCCATATCACAATTATACACAAGATGAACTAAGCTCAGTAAATAAGGAATTCACTGTATTACACATCACTCATCATAATTTATAGCTTTACATAATAATCATTCAAACTAGTAAGGTAATATAGTACTATTATTTACAGTAACTTATCAAAGAATCTTAACACTAGCATAAATATTATACCAGTGAACATTAGAAATTATGAATAACTATCAGTAAGAATGGTACTGTAATAACTAGACCAATCCTATTAACACTACTAATATTTACTAGTAGTTGTTTGATAATATGAAGACAACTAATAAAAGTATCCCCAGGCTAGCATATCTCACAATACAGAGCAGTTAATAGGTACAGCTAAAGTAATAATGACAGCAAGTTTATATGGAATTACTCGCTGCTAACTCAGGTCAACCATGTGACAAGAGGGAAAGGCATAAAAAATTTAAGTTGAATTTTGATCATGTTAACAATTAACAAATACAGAACACAACTGAAGAAGAAACTACCTTCCTCTACTTTACAACCATACCACTGACCTGATCAACACATACATGCCTGCATACATACATACATACATACATTATACACACACACACAACTATTTCTGCTTTCACTCTCAATTTGCCAAAAACTACTTTCAGAGAATATAGTGAAATGCCTCTTATAGTTGATCCCTTTGGTAGCTTCTTGAGGCTACCCACTTAAGAGTTGCAATAAATCTGAAACATCCTACCCGGTCCTTGTATGTCACAAGTGCCTACTGTACATCAGAACCTGAATCTGATCTACTCAATAAAGGCAAGGGAGTCTGCAGATACAAGATCAACCCAAACCAAAAGAAAAAAACAATCAGAAAGATAAAAGTGCCTGAAATGAAGCATCTGCATGTAAAACATTGGTAACACTGACAAATTATGTGGCACTTGTAGTCCAGACCAAACTGCTAATTGGTAACATAGCCCCAGAAACTCGGGGCCTCAGCCAGCTGACCCCCCTTTTAGACATGTACCACCCAAATGCAAACCCAGAGACCTATGGGAAGGAGGGAAGGGCAAGAATTGGAAGCCACCAAAGGGGACCCACTAGAAAGAGGTTTCATTACTTTCAACACTGCATTTCTGGAAGGGTTCCCTTCAGTAGCTCCCATGAATTTAACTCACCAAAATACATGCAGAGACAACAGATTGAGGGGGTAATGAACCACAAATGCCACAAAGAATGAATGGCAGATAAGTCCTAACACCCATGGAATAGCATCCAACTAAACTATGGAAGAAGCAGGAGCCATTGAAGATGCTCAGAAATGCATATCAAGCCCAAAGGTCCAGAAAGCAAGGTTAAACCAGCCAATAAGGATGAATAGCTCACTGGCACTAGAAACTATCCCAGGCAAAAACAACAGGAAAAACACCAACCCAGAGAGAAAAGGCACAGAGACTCAACAAACTTCGGTTAAACAGAACACCTCCAGGATGACCAAACAGCCCATGTAATCAACGGGAGGATATGTCGATGACTGCCCACCCTATCAAAGTGAGCAGACCAACCACAAGCAGAGTCGGCAAGCCATGCTTGCAAACCTGCACAACCAAACTCGTGAATCAGAAGTGTATTAACAAGCGAGGCAAGCCCTAAACCGGAAAAGACCAGACTGACGTAACTGCAGAAAGCAAGAACCACAAGAGTGCAGGATTAAAGACCAGAGGCCAATAAGGACAAAGTACAACAGTAACCCCTCCAAAACTGCCACCAACTCTAGCCAAATGAAACACACCCAAAACAGAAAAGCACACAAGAGACAAGGAAGTGCACAAAATCATTACACAGATCAGCCAGAAAACAACACAGGTGAAAGGCCAATGAGAAAGTCTTTAGGTCTTTATAAAACAGAAGTGACAGATACTAGCCAAGGTTGCTGCCAAAAAACAGGAACACACATTTCAGTGATCACAACCCACCCAAGACCAAATCTGCAATGAAAAAATGTGGACCATAAACAACCGACAAGGATTCTGTTAACCAAAAAATGAACCATGGACCCCTGCTAGCAGACAAACCGACCATCTAGATGGTGAAACCAGCCAGTCATTGAGACAGGTAAAGATGCTGGAACCCAATCATAGAACACCCAGACCTGTGTCATACCAAAGTAGTATTCCAGATGCCAGGGACCAAATATGCGACCAAGGAATCTCGTACATCAGGCCGAAACAGACCAGGTGTCACTACAGTACCAAACAGGGAGACAGCAGAGGCAAAAAAAAAAAAGGGGGGGGGGGGGGGGGGGGGGGGAATTAGGAGCCAACTAATGCACCATGACAAATATAATACAGTATGCTGGCGTGTCCTCTCTCAACACCACTGAGTAGCTGGGTCTGCCATCAGGTGGCAGATGAGTATTACAGAATAGCAGTTGGGTCTAGACAAAGAGTAAGTATATAAGTTTGTGTCAGAGCTGCCAATGTTTATCCGAGTAGTTGCTCATTTTGGGACGCGCAATCTTTCAGGTAATTCTTTTTTTTTTTTACCTGGGTATTATTCCCAGACTCCCTTGCTCTATTAAGGTGGCCAGATTCCAATCCTGGGCCCTAGTAGGAACTTGTGGCCCATAAAGGCCTGGTGGAGTGCCTTATGCTTGAAGCTATCATACAGGTAGCTTCTGGGAGCCACTGAAGGGACTCGTCCTAGAAACTTGGCATGATAATGAGGTCTCCAACTAGAGCTGTTCTTGCCAGCTTATTCATGGAATTATTTGAAGTAGGGCCAATCTCCATCATCAGCAGTGTTAAACGACTCTTGATATGTTGTTCATACTGTTTGTGTTACCGAGTCATTTTGACTTGGATAATTTTATAATCAGACTATGAACTAGAATCTATTACTGTACTGTAAACAGTTAACTCTAGAAATAAAAAATAATGAATCCCTTCTTAAATAAATAATAATAAAATATGGTCACAGACTCTTATTTAGTCTATGGGGAAAACTGCCAACAAAAATTACTGTGTTCACTTTTAATTTCATCATGATAATATGACAATGAGACATAGTGAGTGAATTCTTTTCACAAGATACACTGAATTTGTAAGTAGTTTTTGGAACAATGGTTCCAGAGCCCATTATATAAACTCTCCTAAATCTTAAATACGTATATTTAATTAGGGAATGCAGAAAGCGAGCAAAAACAGTCAGAACTATGGTTCCTTCTCACCAGAGAAAAGACAGCAAATGACATTTGCAATAGGTATATAGTAAAGGGCCAAACTGCTTACAATGATGTACATACACCAAGAACAGAGTAGACTTTAATCCCTGTACTGCACAGCTGTGATATCATGGGAAAACGGGGTGCACCACCCTACATTTCATGCGTCAGAATACTGTAAGATTCAAAACTCCTGCGGGTACACGGGGCTCACATCTTGTTTTTCAGGACTCCAGTAAACAGATGTCATCTTGAAAACAATTGTCTGCATTCTTCCTGGCTGTGAGTGCCTCAAATCTGCCAGAGCAACCAAGGCTGGCACATGCAGCTGCAGCTCACAGCACAGCTGCACAAATCGGGGCCACAACACCACTTAATAATCATAAATAAAATGAGTAACTGCAATTACTTTGTGTTAATAGTGTCATAGATGATCCAGACTGTAATAGAAATTATGTACAAGATTCAGATATCAGTGAACACAATGCTAGTTATGATGTTTACAGCAGGAGACAGACATTCACAGCACACAGCCGAGGTTGGTGAATTTACCCATCGTGTCACGTGACCTCATGCTCCTTTAGAAAATTATCAAGTGGAAATTTATTCATATTCATTATTTAGTAACAAGAATCTGATAATAATAGCAGTGTCTGAAGTAATAATAGTGATGTACATTGTATATTTCTGGGTATTTTGGTGTGTCAAGTGACATCGGCTGCTTAAGAGTCAGCTGGTCATAGAGTGCACTGTACCTCTATACTGTGCTAGGATTTAATTACCACACATCAAAATTACTTAGTAGTTCATTACGGTTTATAAAAATATATAGGTGAATTTATATAATGTGTGTGTATATAGTGAAATAACAGCCAAAAAATTGTTTTATCTAAGAATATAATACTGGTGTATACATGTTATAAGATAAGAGCACCATATTTTTTAGCATAGCGATGTTCCACACCTTTAACTACTGTATATAAATTCCTCAAATTAAACACTGAATAACATCACTGCAAAAAAAAAAACTAGATATAAACCTATTGAAAAACAATGAAATAATTATGTAAAAATATAATTGCAGCAGCCCCCACCTCACTGCTCGGCTGAAGCAGACCATTGCTGGCGTGTCCTCTCTCAGCCTGTGAATATTTCCACACTGCCTCATCCCATTACAGCAAAGTATGTCCCATACAATATTTTGTTTAGTTCCCCATGATCAGAGAATGCATTTTAACAATACAGTATAAGAAAATAAATGGGAGGGAATAATTTTTTTCTCTGCAGGCTTATCATATTTTATACCTGCACTGTACATGAAATTTTAAGGTAGGATAAAAATAGTGAGGTGAATGTGAGATATGTAGTACAACTTGTACTTATGAAGTAGTGTACTATAATAATTTAGCAAGACCGTAGCAATATTAAATTTTCTGGCATTCCCTTTGATAGTGTCTTGTAGTGTTGGAATATTGCTTTATAAATAACAATTTTAGCATATAATCTCTCACTTCCACTTCTCTGACCATATCCCACCTGACCCCTTCCTTCACCCATTTCGCATCTTTAAAATAAAGGCCATCCTTACTATGGCTTATGGTACGGATGTATATATTTTTATATAATAGCCCTGTATACTACTATACAGGGTAGTAGTAATAGCCCTGAATATATTTCATAAAGCCCCTACAGATGAAATGATATCCAACATTAAATTCTACTCTCTTCTTGGTGCTTCTTTACACACAATACCTACAAAGACAATACTGGGATTACGTGCATCGACTATAATGAACACCCTTGTCAGAAAAACAACTGTCACCTCAGGAAGTGTTTCCACTTAGAAACATTGTAAACACAACAAGCACTGTGAGCCACACTTTCAGCAAGTCCACAACAGATACACTTGGTGTGGATCTGTGTGAACGGATGGCCAAAGGCAGAAATATGCTTTATTTTGGAGTGTGATATGACCTGGTACTTCAAGTGCCAATCTTTCTCAGAGTGTCACTCTTTGTGTGTGTGTGTGTTTTCCCCAACTCTGATGGAAATATAGCTACCTGCCTTTTCTGGATTCATTTAAAGCAATCAGCATAAATGTGTCAAATCACCTGTAGTGATATAATGTTATTTCAAGAGTTCATATGTAAGACATTTATATGCAAAACTGTATTCGCTATTTAATAATTAACAAAATAGAAGTATAATACAAAAAAATTACAAGCTTATCAAACATGCATTGTAAAAGACTTCAGCCACCACCACAGAAACAGTAGCCCCAAACCAGTTCTGCATAGGATTTATTGCTGCCACTTGGTAGTCAATTTCATATCAATACAGTCACACTCCATACACACAACTTTATCACAACAAAACACAGGGAGGTAGAGTGGGTCAAAGAGAATGAATACTGTAATACCATTTTTTGAGGTAAAGGTACAGAAGACTGCAGAAATTTGTGAAAAGTAGATAAAAAGACAGGAAAGTGTTGGGATTAATCGAGATACAAAAATGCAAGGTAGGATTTCAGGTAAGACATATGAATAAAACTGTATTTTGGCTCAGAGGTACTGTACCACTCTTAGAAATGTTAGCACAAGTGATACCTTTATATGAAAAAGTAAAGTGTAAATGTAAAAGTAGACAAACAAAGAATTGGGATAAAGAACTGAAACAAACATGACTACATGTCAAAGAAGGTGCATATGAGGAGCAGCAGCAGCAAAATGCCAAAGACAAAGATATAGAGACCAGATTAACGAGCTAAAACAAGACCAGGAAGATGCGAGTCTTGATGGGGAGAAAGTGAGACTGAACTCGGCACATGATACAAATGGTGTAGACACACATGATTTCACCACAGAGAACAAATCAGGATATACGGGAAAGGGAAGCTGAAGTTATAGAGGACCCGAAAATTAAACTAATCAAGGGTGATGAACACTGTATCACAGCCAAACAAATTAAATACACAACATGCAAGAAAACAACAACAGATGAGACTCAACATCCCCCGTGGCCTGATCTCTGAACAGGCCTCCTGGTTGGCAGACTGATCAACCAGGATGTTCGATGTGGCTGCATGCAGCCTGACATGAGTCACAGTCTGGGTGATCATGTATCCTTCAAAGGTCTTTGTCAAGTTCTCTCTTGATCACACTGCAAGAGGTCAGCCAGTTATGCCACATATGTGTAGGAGGACAGTGTTGAAAAGTCTTGACCACTAGTGTCTTGAAAAGTATCCCTGGTACAGCATGTTTTGGTTTAAAGTTTCTTGTTATCCAACCTGTCATTTTTCTTGCAGTTGTAACAGCTACTTCATTACATTCTTCAAAAGCAACATCTTCCAATGTGTTTACTCCTAAATCATTTACTTTTCTTTTTCTTTCAATAGTGTGGTTAAACTGAGTGTCCTCTATATTATCTACTCTCATGAAAATCATTGTGTCATCTGCAAAGGATGATAGTGTTATACTTTATATCCTTGTCTTTTTGATATGTGGATGATAAAAAGTACTGGAGCAAGCACAGTACCTTGAGAGACTAAGCTTTTCATGGTGAATGATCCAGGTTTTACTTTGCTGACTATTACACTCTGGGTTCTGTTGTTAGGAAGTTAAAGATCGATCTCCCTGCTTTGCCAGTAATTCCTTATTTTCGCATTTTCTTTGCAATAACACCATCATCACTTTTGTCAAAGGCTTTTGCAAAATCTGCGTATACAGTATTGTATTGCATCAGCATTTTTCTTGTCTTTCATGGCATCTAAGATACATGGACTAGCAATTGTGAGAGGCAGGAGTGCCGTGTCCTGAACCCATGTTGACCAGTGTTATATTGACACTGCATTTTTATGTGTTTTGTCATCTTACTTCTTAGCTCTTTTTCAAAAATTTTGATGATGTCTGACTTTACAGCTATTGGTTTATAATTTGTTGGCATCCGCTATACTACTACTATTGTGAAGTGGCGCTATCTCCACTGTTGTAAGTATGTCGGAGATAACACCAGTATGTCGGAGATAGCACCAGTATCTAGGCTCTGCCTCTAAAAGATATTTAGGAAGAACAATGTCCATAGGCTCTAGGACTACTTGAAAGCCATGGAAGGAAGGGAGGATAGCTAATGAAGTGACAGAAAGGTAAAGATTGTAACAAATTAGTGGAGAAAAAGAGGCCAATAAAATCTTTTGCAAAAGCAGCTTAAGACACACATAAAGCAGGTTATTTGTCAAAAACTGAGGGCTGAAAGTAGTGAAATGCATTAGTGTTCTTGTTTTGTTATGCACTTCCTTTCTAGTGTTTTCCCATCAATTACTGTGGTGATCAAGTACCCCCAGATTCCCATTGCTTTAACTGAGAGGGCCAGATAATGTTATTGGTCTTCAGTAGGTGGTTGTGACTGGTGTGGTACCTGGATTTAAATGACTCTAGCTGAGTAGCCCTCAAAGCAAAAGAATATAGTAAATAAATATGAAGCGGAAACCTACAAATGCAGTACAGATAGGCAGCCAGTTCTCCACTACAGTGATATATTTTTATCTGGTAGCAAAAGTGCAACAAGCATAACACAGACCAAACTCACTAATCCAGCTGTCATTATGCCAGATATTTAGTATAACTGGCCAAAATCCATCTCATTTTGGTTTGTATTAGCTTCTTTTGCTGCTTCTAGCTGAACCCTATATTAAATGAAGTGCATAGTATGAGAAGTGGCAGCAGGTGTGGAACATGCAAAGCAGCTATGACAATTGGCAGTTTGGAAAATGGCAGCAAACCTGCAAAGTACCTAGTGCATATGAAAAGTGCTGGCAAATAAGGGATATGCCCAGTGTATGTGTAGTGTGCCCAGCACATGTGGAGGGTGCCCAGTAAATGTGGGAATGTATAATGCATGTGGAGAGGCAAAATGCATTTGGTAAGTGCCCAGTACATAGGGAGAGTGCTTAGCCCAAGTGGAGAGTGGCTGAGGGTATGAACAAGAGCTCCCATGTGGGTTGTGTCGAGAATGGCACTACAGGAGAAGTGCAGTAAGCAGTAAACTTGTATGGTAAATGGTCATCAGTATCGATGATGATGCATATTGTATTTATAATCAGAATTTGCACCAAAATATGTTACCAAAGCCATTAAAGCAATACCAACATTAACAAGAAATGCAATTAATGCTAAAATCCATACGAATGATAATATATAAATTTAATATTGCTGGCTGGGAGGGAGGAGCTGGTTGAGTGGGAAGAGTCGGTTGAATGGGAGGAGCTGGCTGGGAGTAGATGGTAAAGGGGTTTTGAGTGCCTGGCAGTATGAGGAACTTGGAATGTGTGTGATTATTTTATGTCAGTGCAATGAGTAAGTGTCATAAATGTATAATGTTAGAAACTCTTGTATGGTAGACTTCAGTAGTTCCCACTACTTGTGTGTTGGTGCCACTAAACCTTAGGATCATTTCAGACCTCCGAGACCCACACTAACCAAAAGACAGTCAAAAACAGATTCTGACTCTCTCATATGTTTGCAAAGAACCCTTAAGGCTCTGGGCATACAAAAGTCAGAGCCAGGGCAAAGAGATTAGCTCCAGGGCAAAAAGACTACCTCCAAAGCCAAGAAACCAGCACTGGGGAAAACTGATCAACAGCTGAGCAATAACACACAAATCAGGCACCCTGAAACAACAACGAGTAGTGCCTGGGAACACAGCCCAGAACTTTAGAAAATCAATTGAATCTTTTGGAATTTCTATGTCAATACTGAAATCATTCACTTTCATTATTTTAATGTCTTCCAAACTTAGGAAAGCTGAAACTAACATTGCTGCTTTAGCACTAAACCTTCTGAGCTTGCATATTTAACTACTCTGTTCATCACTTAATACGGAGAATAGAAAAGATCCTTAAGGTGGCAACAATTAAGTGCACGTTTGAAAAGTAAATATAAAAAGATAATTGAGCTTTGCAGTCACTCTGCTGAAGTGTGTTCAAGCAACTGCTGTGAAACAGGGAAAAGCACAGGAAAGAGGGAGCAATAACCTTATGCTATACTGTATATGACAAACATACCTAATAAAAAAAATACCTTTCATACAAACTACAAACAATATAATCATTAGCAACTAAAGCATTGTTGTTGCTCCACGTAAATGGAAGCCAAGCAGTAAGACTAACCTGCCAATGGAGCGTGTGGAAGGCGACGTGCTGGTTGTAAGGACTGAGCCGGTGGAGACGAGTGGTTCCATGCTATCCATATGATTCCTGGAGATATTAAGAAATAACCTCTTTCATCCTCTTTCAGACTAGCAAAAAAAATATCTGACAACTTGTACTATTTCCTTATTACATTACATATACTCAAGTGTACATGCATGTGTGTGTGTGTGCGTGTGTGTGTAATTATCTAAGTGTAGTTACAGGATGAGAGCTACACTTCTCCCATTTTTTACCTTAATCTTTTCATATGATACTTTGAAACTGCTGATGGTTTTAACATCCATTATTTAAATTGTTTCAACCCTACAAAACTCTGTTTGCAAAAGAGAACTTTCATGTACAGTACTATATTTCTTTGCAATTGTGTTTCTTGAACTTTATTCTATGGCCCCTTGTTCTTGAATCTGCATGCTTCAAAAATCCCACTTGTCAACTGTGTTGATTCCTGCCACTCTTTTTGCATGTGTATGTGTATGTAAATATCTTTTCAAATGTTCCCAGCAAGGAACAATTGAGGAAGTGAGACAGGACAATACTCGATTCTACCTAAAAAGACCACTAGCATGAACATATATTTGAACTCAAAATACCTTATATGCTCTACTTAAGTTCTGCAAGCAATGTCAAGCATTTCTCTTGATAATTTTCTAGTCAACTCACCTAGCTCCTATCTCAAACTGCCAACAGATGGCAACACCTTACTAAGCAACAGGGGCCTCAGGTACCTGTCCTACTCTCATTGAGTCAGGATGAAAAATGGCATTGGAAGAGCTGGGACAAAATGAGGGGGTTAGTTTAGATATAAGCTTTAATTTCATTTAAAATTCCTCAGTTGTTCCCTGAACCACACTCCCTAACATCTCTTCAACTAAATTGCAAGTCCAGCTTCCACAGATGTCCCCTCATCCTACCTCTTTAACAGGTTTCATTTATCCACTTTTATCTAGTCACTTCAAGATCTTGTACATAGTATCATATCCCTCTGTTTCTTCTCTCCTCTAATGTTGTGACGGTGAGTTCTCTCAACATGTCCTCATGGTGAGGTCATGCAGGAGCTACATACAAGTACAGTAATGATCTCACGTAGGCAGTTTGTATGGACTAGAAAGCCTCACTGTTTAGATTCTTGAATGATGTTCTCATGTTTACTAACTTTCCCATACGCTGCTGACATTATCCTGTTCACACGAGCTTCTGGTGTAAGTGTTGGGATTATATCTACTCTGAGGTCTTCGTTTCTTATTGTTTCTTGTAATTGCCTGGTACCTGGTTGTTAGGCAATTGCCATGTCATGTTCAAGTGAGAATAAGTGGGTAAGCCTAACATGTGTAATGGGAAGGGAAAGCTCTAAGTCTGCTAAGAAAGTTAAAGAAAGTTAGAGTCATCTGTTCCTGTAACCACCTGTTAAAAAAAAAAAAAAATGAGGACAACTCCAAAGGAAATCTTGAATCTCCCTGGGAAGCAAATACTGACTAACCCAAACACACAAGGGGCAGACTTAGTACTAAGCTAAATCACTAAGAGATCAAAATCTAAATCAGCCTTCAGACCTATCTCCTTTGATCAATCTTCAGACCCATCTCCTTGGATTAACCTCCAGACTCAGCTTCCACACCAATCACCTACACAAAAGCCTTGGCATAAATTCAATATACTGTATATCAATACTGAATGCATAAATTGAATGGCTTAAGAAACGACATTCAAATACAGTATGCTAAATTTGAAAAATTCAGATATTCATACACTTGACTAACACAATAAAAACTGGCCCACAGTGCAGAAACCAAAGTTTCAAAGATAACCCAGTCAAAAATAACTTGAAAGTTATCAGAGAAATAGACAACGACAAGATGCTTGCTGTGTTTAGTGCCGTGTTTTAATGTGATCCACTTGTCCTGCCATCCAGGAGGGTATGGGCTAACTTGGAATGCAAATTAGTGCTTGCAGTTTTATTTACAGTTTCAATGAATGTTCATTCTGGAGGTCTTTTTGGGTTGCACTGAGGAGCATCTTCCTTCCCCTTTGTCACTTGGCAGTAATGCTTGCAAATATTCCTGGTATGACTGATCCTATCCTGGGTAGACCAGGTCTTTGGATCAGGAATCAAGTGACTTTACTCATGAAAGATAGTTCTGAGACTTTTTCCTTGCATAAAATGCTCATTAGTGACAATCACCAACATTACTTTTGATATAAATAATATGAATCATTTTAAGTTTACATAATAAATAAAAATTAAAAGACTAACTGGCCTTTATCATTTTTTTAATGTGGGAGAGATGAAGGTCCCTGGCAGTTCCCTGAAGCTATCACACTGAGAAGCCTCCGGCCTACTGAGTGACATCAACAGGTGTCCTGTTGGCTTACTGGAGTCCAAGACCAGAACCTGGTCACCCACCCCCATCTCATAGAGGTTCAGAGAGCAGGAAGACTATTACAGTCACACTCACTGAAAAAGTATCCTGAAAGTCAGTGAAAATTTGCAGACAACTGTGAGGTTCATAAAAAACGAAGCACTGAAATGGCCAAACAACTTGATAAATGATTCAGACTAAACCATTGGTTCACTCAAAATTATCTCAAACCCTGTAAGGTTAGCTGCCACCAGATGGCTCTGAGCCCAGGTCACAGCTGCCTCCAATGGTTGGTCTGGAGGTGACCATTGAAGTGCACTACAAGTGGTGTCAACCACATGTAGGGGATGTAGTATAGAGGTGGCTATTGGTCAGGGCTTCAGGCTGCCTTGTGGCAACTGTCAACACTTACCTTACAGGGGTTCGAGAGAGATTTGAGTGAACCAGCGGCTTTGTGTAAATCATCTGGAGAGTCATTTGGCTGCTACAATGCTTCATTTTCTATGAATCTTAAGAGTTGTCTATAAACCTTCACTGACTTTTTTAATTCTTTCCCAGTGAGGGTGACATTATAGTCCCCTGCTATTTTGCACCTTTATAAGAGGGGGGGGAGACAGATTCTGGCTCTGGATTCTGGTGGGCCAACAGGACACCTGCAACTGATGTGGCCCAGTAGTGGGGAGCCGCCTTCTCAGTGAGATAGCTTCAGGGAGCCACCAAGGGGCTCCTCCCAGAATACTGTGTTTTAAATTGTATGACGTCTTTATAATAAAGCTTAGATGGAAAATCACTCTTAAAAATAATTAAATTGGGTAAAGCTTCTCTAAGTGTGTGTTGATACCAGTCTAGTTATAAAACTAAATAAATTTGTATACATACTGTATGTATATGTATGTGTGAGTATGTAATTACCTAAGTGTAGTTACAGGATGAGAGCTACGGTTGTGGTGTCCCATCTTCCCAGTGCTCTTTGTCGTCGTATAACACAGACTACCGACGGTTTGGTCTCCACCAAAACCATGTGTGAATGTGTTTGTATGTCTTTCATTGTTAATTTATACTTTGTAGAAAATATAAAAATATACTATTATAATAAACTGGCATTGGCAAGCAGTTGAAAAGCATGAATCATACCTGGAAAACGTAACAGCAAAATACAAATGCTTGCAAGCAAGAACTACAAGAGTTAAAGATGGCAAGGATAAAATATATAAAAAGAGTGAAGAGATTGGCTCTGTGGGTCAGGAAAGGCAATAACACAAGTCAAAACATTAATTATGGACAAAACTCCTCATTCTTAAATAGAGCAACATAGCCATATCACAGGAGTTACATAACCTTGTGAGGTGGCCACCGAAGCATATGAGTAAAAGAAAACTGAAAATAAAATAAAAAAGTTGGATTGACTACTTCATGAAGATTGAGAAGCAGCAGCCAATTAAAGGCCTAAAGAACTTCGATATAAACCCATGGAAAACAAGAGAATGCCAAAAGTGAAAGAACTAATTTCTAAATTTACTCATGAGAAAGAAGTATTAGTAATCACATAGAAAAAAATATAATATTTATATACATCATCTATGATTGCTTCAATAGAAAATTTAGAAGATAATGGTTACGTATTATTCATCCTGCTAGTGAAAAAAATACCAGTAAAGTTTTTTACTTTGAGTAAGCCAATAAAAATTTTACCCAAAAGTATTCACTGGTTACCCATACAAACATACAAGCCAAAATTTGACTAGATACATTCTTATTCACTGATTACACCCACGTATATTCGGCATTGAAAAAATTTCTTTATTACCTTTTCAATTTAGTATTATTATTATCTAAAACATTATATGATCTGAAGCCTCAACACAATTCAATTCTGGGGTTTGCTGGGGGTATAATATCCCCCTAAGTAGTTACCAAAAGAAAGCAGTAAGCCCAAAAATCTATATAGCAATGTGACAATATTCAAGAGGTCCTATGTATCATTCGGGATGCCAATACGAGAGCAGAAGTATATAAAGCCAGTGATATTAAAGGAATTGGATTCACAATGGATTTTATTGAGTGACATATAACAAAGAAACAATGAAAAAGCAAAAATTCTGTATAGCCCGAAAATTAGGACATCCTACGAGATGCGTGACTTAGTGGAATAATACATTTCTCACACTAAGGTGCAGATCTCTGTTCCACTTGATGCCCATTAGTTAATTATGTTTGGTCAACACAACCTAGTCAAGAGACATTTACCACTTCCTATCTCAGTGACTGGAGAAAGACAAGGAGGCTACCTTGAGGTGCTTCCGGGGCTTAGTGTCCCCGCGGCCCGGTCGTCGACCAGGCCTCCTGGTCGACGACCAGGCACATTACTGATTGCAAACTGAAGTCAGTGCTGACAAAGTGAAAATTTCTTGCCCAACAGCAACTAGTGAGGTCATCAACAAAAAGCAGCAAATGATCAACAATTCAGTAGAGATGTGGGGAGACTGTTAAGAACTACCAGGAAAGATGAAGTGCTTAAAACACCACCTTTGGATATGCCTTTATATTGACAAAAAGAGGCAGTGAAAGTAGTCCAGAAGTAAACCACAAAAATGACCAAAGAGAAAGCTTTAAAGAAAAGCTGCAAATTAACTTGGAGGGCAAAGAACACAATTAGATTAATATATCTCCAGGTAGTGTCAAACACTT